CCGTGCCCACGCCTCCCCTCAGGGCCGGGTTTTGCTACAGAACAGCGCGCTCGGCTCGGCTTGGATGCTCTAACCGTGTTTCCCTCGTGGCCTGACCGGTTTCTCACCCCCACAAACACCCTGGTAACAATTTGCCAGATCCCTCTGTACCCGGCTGCTTCAGGATGGAAGAAAAAAATCACATCACCATTCGCTGTAAGCCTCAATTTAGACAATATAACTCTGTCAGGTTTTGTCTTTTCTAAAATTGTAATTTTAGAAAATTAATTTTAACTAATTAAAATTCCAAAATTCAAACTATAGTTTGAAGTGCAAATCTAGGGACTCAAAAAGAACATAAAACCTTGCACACCAATCTACTTTTCACTTTTCTGCAACTCCAGAGGCAGTGCTCCCCCACAGAGCATCTTCTGGAAAGGGAGCTAGACTTTATTCATATTTAACAAAATAATATCGTGGCTCCAGGGAGCTGGCCTGCCTAAGTTACCCACCAAACACAGGTGGAGTTTGGAAAAACAGAAAGGGGAATTGCTATCTGTAATTGGGACCAAATTTCCAAACTCAAACCTTTATTTCCGGAACAGCAAGAACACTATCAACTTCTCCTGCAACACCCAAAATCATGTGGATAGCAAGATTATCCCAATAGGGATGGATAACCAGGTAAATTCTACTTGCTGCTGCCGCTGCTGGGGAGAGACAAGGGGGGAAGGAAGGGGGGCAGTGTTTCCCTGTTGTAAAAGCTGTTGAGTTTCAGTAAGCTTTATATAAAGTAGTAAACTAAGCCAGAATAAACAGGGAGTATATAGTAATAACCCTGTGACAAGTCTAAACTTCTCAGGTTGCCCAGGGAAGCTGTGGCTGCCCCATCCCTGGAAGTGTCCAAGGCCAGGTTGGACGGGGCTTGGAGCAACCTGGGACAGTGGAAGGTGACCCTGCCCATGGCAGGGGTGGAACTGGATGGTCTTTAAGGTCCCTTCCCACCCAAACCATTCCATGATTCTGAACAAAGCAGCTTATATAGTGTTGAGATGATACGAATAAATTTAATTTTACAATATATACACATAAAACAGTTCTTGAGGAAAACATTCTGAAGTATAAGGCACCTAGGGGAAGAGAAAAAGACAGTAAGACAATATGCAATAAAATTGGAAATTACAAAACAATTGTGACAATAAAAGAATTCAGTCCTATCACTGAAAAATTTTTAGGGAAGTAGGAACAGAAGACAGACTGGTTCCCTCTAAGTCCTTCTTCAGACTACTTGTATTAACAACATCAGCTGCCACTAAGTTAAAAAAACAGACAGAAAAACTAAGCTATGATTCTTCCCAACATTGCATTCCGAGTATGAAGTTCCAAAAATTAACTCAAGTCTATCACTGAACTGACCAAGAAACGTAAAAATAAAGGATTTTTTCCCCCAGTTAATTACTGCATACAAGACTAGATTACATTTTGTTCCATGAAGAGAGCAAGAACACAGCAATGTTCCACATATTACAGTCACCCTGCTTACAGTTCTACATTTGTAAGTGCCACGTAGTTTCCCTGCAGTTCTTCCAGGTGCATAAGGAACTCGTGCACTGGATCCTTACTGAATTTGATTTATTAAAAGAACTTACTTGGAAAATTACTCTGTCTCCATTTCCTCTTCAGTGCTCTGAAAAGGAGGGCTAATCATGGCTTCTGTTATTTCAAATACTTCTACGATCTCCTGGTTAGAGATGACAGCAGTCAGTCAGTCACAAGAGCTGAACTATTTTAATTTAATTACTAATTAATTACTAATTGCTACTTTAAATTAATTACTAATTAATTAATAATGAAATTTCTCACACTAAAGCACCATTTCAGATTATTATGTTTCTCCTGCATATTCTAAGTGAGGGACAAAGGAGAAGAACTGTATGGGCTCAAAACTACTTTTTGTCTTCTAAGGTTTACTACAAACAGCAAAATAGTGAGGAGAACTTCCCCTCCAGAAGTAAGTACATGGAAGGGAAGAAACAGACTCTGTATTTACACAGGCCTCATATAAAATAGTAAAGGCAAGTCAGTGCACAGCTTAAAAAGCACATAAACTGAGCAGGCCTCAGGGATCAAAGATGGAATTGCTATCCCAGTTCTCAGTTTTCCTGCAGTTAAAAACACCCATTAGAAATGTGATTGTTCTGGCACTGTAAGGTCAAATGCAGTGATGATGTACATGGGAACACCTCTCCTCCTGAGAGCATCAACAGCCCAGCTCTCGGATGCATTCCTACATTTAAGGAAAAAAGAACTAATCCAAAGTATCAAATGGTCTCTATGGTACCTTCCATTCTTCCTGGGTCAGAGACATGACAACTTGTTTCCGTGCTCCAGGTCCTCGGTTCTCCTCCCCTACCCTCCTGAATTTTGTAGACTCTGATCAAAACACAATAGTTTCAGTATTTACACTTGCAAAATCAGTGTCCACCAGGAACACAAAAGCTCCACAAAAATCAAATCAATTCTGCATGTTCCCCCCACTTACTCCCTCTCAACAGCCTGTACCATACACTGCTGAAGAGATTTCCTTCATCTCACCTCTTCAACATTTAGGAACTAATGTTTTGCAGAGTCCCAGAAAGATGTAAGTATTTCATTCCTTATGAAATCCCACCAAAGTCTTAACCCCATTGATATCCTGTGGGAATGAAAGCCAAAGACTCGTGTAGCATGGAATTTCCTTTCCAAATGTTTTGAAGCTGCAGCAGTTCCCAACTCAAGTTAGACAACGGAGACTTCTTGCACACAAGAAATACTTTAGCAAAAATGTAACTTGAAAAGAAAGGTAATAACCTTTGATTTATTTTAATAGAATTAATTTGTATAAATCAGCATAATGGTCTTTTTTTCATATATTGATATTTGAAAAGACTCATTCCTTTCAACTCCTCATAAATCTCTTCATACCTTCAATTACATTCACTGTCCCCAGCTAAAAATAAACCTGAAACTTTGTGAATGTGTAACATGTAATGTTGTAGCAAAAAACAATTAGGTTCTTTTAAAAGCTAGATTTTACCTATTATTGGCAATTTATCATCATCCAGCCTTATTTCTGCAAGACCATCCTAAAAGACAGTGGGATTTAAAGTTTCAGAAGTTAGAGGTATCCAGTTAGGATAATGCACTGAGATTTCATGTTTTTACTTAATACATAATCATAAACAGGTACATATATTGATAAAGAATCTTCCTTGGCATAACAAATAGGACAAAAGTATTTAAATATAGCACTTATTAATGAAGAATGCAGCCCATATGGAACAGTGGCTAACTTGGATTATAAAAGTTTTGCTTTATTAAAATCATTATTATTCATTAAATACACTTGAAGGTAACCCTTCATAATCAAATCACATCACTATTCATTATAAACCTGAATTTAGTCAGAATATCTTTGTCAGTTTTTGACTTTGAAAATTAATTTTGTTTATTAGACAAACTAAATATAGTTTGAAGTGCAAATCTATGCATTTGAAAAGCATATAAACCCCTGCACTAACATACTCTTCTACAACCTCAATAACTCTTCTATACTCCGTGACTACTTTCTTATATCTGAAATGTAAGTCAGAATCTTTTCTGAAAAGCATATTGACAGCAAAATTTCACAACTGTTTTGCTGGTAAATCGATTGCAGCAGAAAGATCTAAGAAAAAAATTAGTCTGTCAACTCTATTTTCGTTTTTATTTCATTACCAAAATATCACGGGCTCTTTGTAGAAAATAAATTAGTATTCCTCATATTTGAAACCTAATTTTTCGATCTTGAAGACATAAAACCAACAAATCAGGATGTCTAGATAATTCCCATATCTAAAGTGAGATTTCAAGAACATATCATGCCTTACCCTTATAAGGAAGGACACATGAAACATGTTTTCCACAGTGCGTGCAAAGGAGTTTGGATCAATCACAAAATCAAAGAAGGAAATAGGTGTTTCAGCTGGAGGTGTAAAAATGGCTTTGTTAAAACAGAGTTAAAAGATGTAAAACAAACTTAAAGAGAGACAGTACTCCTTTCAAAACCTAGCAGAATGTTTGTCAATTTAGTTATAATGCTGAATTCCCAGCTCCCTGCAAAAAGAAACAAATCTTTCATAGAGTTTATTATTTTCTTCCATCTTTTCCCCCATGCAGATCCATAAGCAGTGATCACTTGGTTGCCTTCTGAAAAGTGGCAGGCTCTAATCAGGGGGAGAGGATTCACATTTTCTGTGCAGTCAAACAGCCCCTGACGAGTGTTCATAACAAATCCATAGTTGGTATATGTGCTTCTACATGAAGATTTCTGCTTGCAAACTTCACCTCATTTTGGCTCTGTAGTTTAACCACTCCTAACTGTAAAAAACCAGCAAATATTCATTTTCACCAATTAATGCCTAATTTCCTCATACTTACGATCATTTTCAAAGAGAGTGTTCAGTATTCCCAAGATCCTCTCTACTTCTTTTTCTGTGGTTTCGTCATGAGACTCCTCCATTTGATTTAACTGGGAAAAAGAAACACAGCTTCACCTCAAATAACCACTGTTGTATTACAGGGCCTTTTATGAACACAGAACATAAAAGCTGAATTTTTCTCCCTACATGCACTATTACAAACACACTTATGCAAACATGAGACAGCTTGCTGAGAGCTTTAGGGTTTAGGTCCCATCTTAAAATATCAACTTGAAAGGCCATGGCTTGTATGTTTTGAGCCCATTAGGGGCTACACTTACTCTTCAATAGCTCTGTGGAATTGGGATACACTGTGGTACAGTCTGTGAGGTTAATACAGATCATTTTTAAGCAACTCAAAAACCCTCCAGCTCCTCTTCTTCCCAGTACAAAGTGCAACAGAATCCTTTCTATCACTATTTCAATTACTATTAAGTATTTTAGAAAACAATAATCAAGCTTTTGCCTCCATGTCCTGGCATTATCACAGTCTGAGCTTCCCTAAAACACCATGCTTTATGTTTTCAAAGTTTCAGTTAAGTCTCTAAGTATGCCCAGACTTCTGCCTTTCTGCCAGTGCATGACAGAAAGAAGAGGGAAGCAGAAGGCAGAAAAAACAGTGTTGAAGTGAGCTAATTAACTGCTGTTAATCACATTTCAGGGCAAATGCCACACCCTGTCAGACACTTCTTACAGAAAAAGGGAAACCACACCCCTGTAAAGAAGCTTCTTTTCTGTTTCCTTTTAAAGCAACAGGCATAAGAGCAAGTAAGCTCACTTGAACTTGAAAAATCGGTGTGTAAATCATATTTCTGAACATGAAATTAGTCTGTAAATCCTACTTCCCTCCACTCAGTGAAACATTGCAGTCCACACAAACAAATCAAGAGGCCTAATAATGAAGTCTGAGTCCTTTGGTACTGTAGAAGCCCAGAAAGGGCTGATGTGTATGTTCCAAACACAGCTGGATGGCTATGGAGCCACACAAGGATTGCTGGTAGCAACAACCAAGGACTGTGCAAATAACACACTGTGAAGAAGAACAGGATGTGGCTGGAAAAAGAATGATATGGAGATAGGGCAGCACTTTTCTGTGACAAACATCCTTGTTTTGGCTCCTGGAGTTAAAGCACAACCCAGGACAGCACAGGCATCTACGAATCTTGGCTGATCCCTTCCCCTCAAGGGTGGGATGTCACAAGTACTACACAGTTTGGAATTACAAAACCCAAACAACATGAACAGAAAGATTTAGAAGTCACTAGTAATAACTATGCCAGAACAAATGGTTAATAAAGGTAATGCTTTACAAACCTGAGCAGGCATCATCTGTTTTGCTTCTCCTTTTGAAGCCCTTTTCTGTCTCTCAATCCGTTGCTTTGCTACAGGAGGATCAGACTTGAAAGATCCCAACCTAACAGAAATACAAAGAACACATACATGGAAATGTGGTTTACACTGCATGCTTAGAAATCTATACATGTTCTGGTATGAGGCTGCCAATATATTGGGAGCAACTTTTGGGGATGGTTCTTTCCAGAAATCTCTGAATGTGATGAAGCTTTATCTTTAGGTATCAGTCATTACTTTACACTTTTCTCAGGAGATCCACTGCAAGACTCTAAGAGACAACCCATTAACACAGATGTACAAGAACAACTGTCAGTCTCTTCACACTAATACAATCATCAGGTAAAAGATACAGACCTCCCTGGACTGACATTCTGGAACTGCCTGAGAAAGAAAAAAAAAAACCCACCAAAAAGGCTCCTGTATTCCTGATTCTGGCTGCAGCTTGTACAGGGAGACAATGATGAGGGAAGAGTCAGCTTTCCATAGGAAAGAGGATCACTTCTGATGGCATTTCAAGAATACCTTGCTAGTGATATTATTCTGTAGCCAAACCAAAACCAAAGCAAGAAATATTATTAAATATTTTGGAGATGAGGAGTTCACTGTAGCAAAAGAAGAAAGATCACACAGAAGTCCTTGCTGACACTCTGCTGTGACCTCAGATTAAACTCTGTTCAAGCCCAGGGCATTAAAGATAAGACTCCATTAAGGGCATTACCTTGTGCTGCAGGATATAGTATTTCCTTAAAGGAACTTACATATAGTGAAAGGTAGGTGCTCTTCTGAAGTACTTTAGTGCTTCTTCTCCCACTTTCTGCCAGGCATCACGAGGTAAAAAACCACCAGGTTCACTATCATTTTCTTCTACTTCTATGCGATTTATACCCATGAGGGTCAGCTACAAAAGAAAAAAAGCTGCAGTGAAAATTCACTTAAACCAGGAGATACATTCGTGGTGAAACCATGAAATTGTATTGTGGTGTTTGCCTGATAGATTAATGTTTAATATCACTGCATAAGGACTTTCCTGAACATACTGTGAAAACAGATAACTTCTGTTAAGCTGAGAAAAAAAGAGCCACAGGTAAATAAAACTGCTTAGATTCCAACAAATTTTCAATGACATATGAAGTAGCAGAGCATTACTTAAATTGCACCAGAGAGCTCAGATATCTCACAATTTCTGAACACCACACATTCCCAGGAATACCATAGAACAACTTATTTGGCCTATTCCTGCATCCACCAGTCCACACTAAGCCAAGAAAAACTTCAACAAAACAACTGAACTTGATGGGGTTTTATACTGTAGAGCTGTAGGCCTGACCAAAGAATCAGATTCCTTATTAATCTGCTGTAACATAAGGGAACATTTTCAAGGAGGAAAAAACCCAACAGCCTGCTTAAAAGCTATTCTGAACCAACTCTTCCACCCAGCCACAGTACAAAAAGACAAACATGTCCCATCTAAAAGCATTCAAGTCATCCAAAGTCCTGCCAGTGACACAGGGCCTTAAGGACTCTATCCCAAAACACAGGAAGTGGTAGACAGGATAAAGAAACTACTTAGCTACTGAGAAACTACAAAAGAGTGACTTAAAAAAAGCTGCAAAGACTTCAAGAGCACGAACTGACTGAACTGTGATAAAGCAGCAGCAGTGCAATAATTTTTTTTGGGGGGGGGTCCTGCATTTTAAGTTGGATTTTCCCCTATTGGAAATGCTTAATACGTAATTTAAAACAATTAAAACCACTAACCAGATACAGAAAGTTAATCAAAGAAATCCACAGGAAGAGCATTCAGTTCCATCAGAGCTGCCATGTACGAGCTGAGGATTTTGTTTTATGATCCTGTAACAAACAGGGCAAACCTCCAGCAAAAAACTGTTGGCAAATTCAGAGGCTGGAACTTACCAAGTCTTCCGCAAATGTTGCTGCATCAAATGATGTCATCTCAGAGTGTAACTCATTGGCCTTCTCCTTGCCTAGATTGGATGCTAAGACAAGAAACTGGGCATCCAGCGCAGCCTCTCGTGCACGGCAAACTGTCACAGAAAAGATTTTATGCTGACAATGTGAAATTGTCTAAAATATAATAATAAAATTCAGCATAGGGTCTATCTTGCCATTAGAGCTTTGTAAATCATTTTATTACAATGACCTCTAACACACTTACTTAATCCTTATAATAATATTTGCATTAAAAAAAAAGGAGAGAGAATAGGAGAGAGTGACACTGACAAAGAACAAACGCATTTTTATCAACATGTTTTCCACTTCTCCAAGTGAAATGAACCCCTCTACACTGATACTTTTATGTGTACTACTTCTATACATTGTCAAAATAAAGCAAAGAGTATTTCTAAGTGCAAATAAACAGGAATATTTATTTTCTCATATCAACTTAAACAATCTTCAACTAAACATATCTATTTTAAATTATATAGAACTTCTGATAAAGTACTTGGACCTCAACTCTCTTGTTTACAAGGCATCATCGTCTCACACTTGGCTAAACACCTTGAATAAAGAGCACAGAATTTGTTTTACCTTTCTCAAACAGTTTATTGGCTTCTTCCAAAGCTTCTGTCAATCTGTTGCTTTTAGAACTCAGCATCTCCTCACGATTTTCTGGGGGAGAAAAGACACACATGAAATCCTAAATTATTTAAACACAGAAGCATTGAGAAATACTGTGCTTGTTTGACCCTGACTGGAGGCCAGGTGCCCACCAAAGTTTTATCACTCCCCTCCTCAGCTGGACAGGGGAGAGAAAATAGAACAAAAGGGCAGAGAGAGATCCCTCAGCAGTTACTGTAACAGGCAAAACAGGCTCAACTTGGGGAAATTAGTGGAATTTACTATCAATAATATCAGAGCAGGATAATAAGAAGTAAAACAGATCTTAAAAACACCTTCCTCCCCCCCTCCCCTCATTCCCGGGCTTCACTTTATTCCAGATTCTCTACCTCCTCCCCTCCAGGGGTAGAGGAGGGAAATGGAGGTCACAGTCAGTTCATCACATGTTGTTTCTGCCACTGGTTCATCCTCAGAGAGAGGAGCCCTTCTACCCCTACTCCAGCGTGGGGTCACTCCCACGGGAGACAGTGCTCCACCAACTTCTCCAGCGTGAGTCCATCCCATGGGAACAGCTCTTCACAAACTGCCTCAGGAATTTGTGGGTCCCTTTCCACAGGGTGCAGTCCTTCAGGAACAGGCAGCAGCTCTGTCCCTGCACAGACTCCAGCCTCCATGGGCCCGCGGGTCCCTGCCACGACCCTGCTCCAGTGTAGGACCCTGCCCGTGTTGCAGGTGGGTCTCTGCTCCCCGTGGCCCTCCCTGGGCTGCAGGGGCACAACTGCCTCACCATGGGCTGCACCTCAGCTCCGGCACCTGGAGCACCTCCTGCCCCTCCTGCTGCACCGCCCTGGGGGTCTGCACAGCTGCTTCTCTCACAGGTTCTCGCTGCTCTCTTCTCTGGTCGCAAATACTTTTGCACAGTTACTTTTTTTCCTTCTTAAATATGTTATCACAGAAGTGTTACTGCGGTCACTGATGGGCTCAGCCTTGGCCAGTGGGGGGTCCCTCTTGGCTCTGCAGACACCGGGGAAGTTTCTGGCAGCTTCTCAAATCCGCAGCCCCCCCTGCTACAAAAACCCTGGCCGCACAAACCCAATACAAATACATACTCACGACCTAATCAAAACTGGCTGCTTCGTTCCCTGTCATACACACGAAAATACAGAATATATAGCACATTAATTCCAGGATGATACAGGCTCCATCTTTATTAATGCTTATGCATTAACTAAGACTGAAGTAGCAATTTTCCATTTACTTCAATGGCATAAGATTTTTATGGTTGAATTTATGCTAGCGGAGATGGCTGCCCCATCCCTGGAAGTGCCCAAGGCCAGGCTGGACGGGGCTTGGAGCAACCTGGAATACTGGAAGGTGTCCCTGCCCATGGCAGGGGGTGAAAGAAGATGAGCTTTAAGGTCCCTTCCAACCACTCCATGATGCTGTCATTCCATACAAATGCCTCCCGGGAGGCGAATGTCGACCTGAGCACGAACCCGAAGTATCAGCCGCCCAAGGAACCCGGAGTTCCCCACAACCGCAGGACCCTCACGGAGCCCTCACGGCCGCCAGCCCGGCCCCCGCCCCGCGCCCGCCTTACGGTGCACGCTGGAGATGAGCTCCCGGTACTGCTGCGGATCGACCTGTTGTGCTCGTTGTCGGCCCCGTTGCCGATCTCCAGCCGCTGGACACACTCGCTCGCCTCCTCCTCCGTGTCCTCGGCGGGGGACGGCGAGCGCGGGAGGCCGGCGGCCCGTCCCGGGAGGTGGAGGGCAGCGGGACGCGGCCCCCGGCCGGGGAGGAATCGCCGCCGCCCTGCGCCATGTCGGGGCCGCGGGGCCGCGGGGCGTGCCCGAGCTCCCGGGCCGCTCCCGGGGCGGCCCCGCCTCACGGGCATGGCGAGCCTGCGTACCTCGGCCCGCAGGGTCCCCGGGGGGTCTGTGCCCCGCCGTGGCCGCCGCGGAGCCGCCGGGCTCTGAGCGCGCTCTCCCGCCTGTGCTGCGCGGCGCTCCCGAGCAGGCCGGGCCGGGCCGCTCTCGATCGCTCCCCGGGCGGCTGCGGGGCTCTCACCGCCGCAACGAACCGACGGAACGGCCCGCGAACCGCCGCGAGCAGCGCTGCGATCCCCGGCACGGGCGGAGCTCCGGCACGGCAGGGAACTCCCCCGGGCCGGGCGGGGCCGCGGGGCCGCCGCGCCGCCTCCGGAGGGCGCTGCGGGAGCGGGAGAGCCGCGCGAGCGGGGGCGGGACAGGCCACGGCCGAGCGGCACGGCAGGGAAAATGGGACGGAAAGCGCCGCTGAGCGCCTGTAGTACATATCTATCTATATCTATATCTATCTATCTATCTATCTATCTATCTATCTATATTTATATATCTATCTATATCTATATCTATCTATCTATCTATCTATCTATCTATCTATATTTATATATATATATGTCCATAGAAATGCCTGCCTTAGTCCTTGAGCAGAGGTCTGAGCTCTGGCAAATGGAATAAATGATGGAGTCATAGGATGGTTTGGGTGGGAAGGGACCCTAAAGACCATCTAGTTACAATCATAGGATCGTTAGGGTTGGAAGAGACCGTCAACATCATCCAATCCAACCAAACACCCAGCACTTCCAGTTCTGCTTGTCCAGATGGTCAGATTTCTGCTGTCCTGGCTATTATTGTGTATCTATGTAATTTGTTGTTGTCAACAGTGAGAAACAGTAAGTGAAGAAAATGGCCTACATTCAGTTCATTGTAAGATTTTCTAGTTGTCTTTACTCACCAAGATTTTTTTTATGTCTGATGTTCACTCAATTTTCATCCATGCATATACAGACAACCTTATTCTCATTGAAATGAGAAGACTCACAAAGAGGAATCTTGAAATAAATGTTTCAGATTTATTAGCAGAGGTCACTGTGTGCAGATTTCACCATTCCCTCCTTTGCTCCTCTCAGAGTGCAGAAATGAATGTAGAGTTTCTGGCATTTAGCAGAGGATCTCCAACTGAATTCAAATTCCTCACGTTGTATACAGATACTGTATTTCAGCAAACAAGAGCCAGTCTCCATTGTCACCAAATACAGAGCAATAGTGTGTCTTTTTAGGGTGCTGAGGAGTGAATTACCAGTGGGGTTCGCAGTGCATCTCAGCTTGGGAGTTGTCCAGCATGCTGATGCTCTCATCTAGAGCCCTTAAAATAGTGGATCTACCACCATTCAATTTAATATCAGATCTAACCATTTGTCCAGTTCTGGAAATGGATCTCCTGGTATGAAATCCCTGATTTGCTAGCAGATATTCCTAGGCATTACTGAAAAAAGACATGTCTTTAAATGAGACAGTTTAGTCACTGCCCAGGAGCATTGCTTATGATTTTAAAGCATAAATGTTTTGCATTTCCCTGGAATACACCAAAAAAATGCTACTATTCAGGATGAAGAGATAAAACAAGAAATTGACTGTCTAAAACCATGGCAACACTGGACTTGTTGCCCAGTGATGGCTGTTCCTGACATAAAGTTAATCCCAGTGATCCAAAATGGGGCCTGGACTAATTGAAAACATCAGAAACAAAACATCCAAGGTACTTGGCATTCATCTGCCAGCTCTGCAAGCAAACACAGATGGGGGAAAATATTTTTAATGAGTGTAGCTAAATTTAAAAAATTGTTTTAGCAATGTGGAAGTTTAAGTTTTTGTACCTGGTTCTTGCAGAAACTTTCATTTTTGTACTTACAGATAATCATGTGGGAGGTAAAAATCAGATATTCTCTCAGCAGTGTGGATTAGGTTACAGCCCATCACATCACAGTAGACATTGTACCAGTCTAAGAAGGTATTTTCAGAGGAATATGAAAGAACAATTATTAATAGAATTATGAAAAAGCTGGGGCCCAATCTGGTGGGGTGTCAAGGAGAAAAACCCGGGCAGGATCAAACCCTGATTGGCACCAGAGACTCATTCTTTTTAAGGACTTGGAAGGTTTCATTAAGTGAAAAACTGACACCAGGTTGCTGCAACAACACGTGGAAGTCATGCTGCTGGGCACTGAAATGCCAAAAACCTTCTACTTTTTCCCTACAATCAAACAGCAATTTAGAAAAATAAAATAAAATAAAATAAAATAAAATAAAATAAAATAAAATAAAATAAAATAAAATAAAATAAAATAAAGTAAAATCAAATAAAATCAAATAAAATAAATCTTTGCAAGAAGGAGCAGGAAATATAAACATAAATCGATGATGCCTCAGAGTGGAGAATAACCAGACAGCTGCAGCCTTGGTGGCCCATCCAGTACATTTTGAATGAAGGAACAAAGCAAATGCAGAACAATGTCAGATTTTTGCAAAAGCAAAGAGCCAATTAGTGCTCTAAAGAGTTGTGCCCCTATTTTGCATAACTGCATGGCAATTTTTTGGACATTGAAATTTTAACATGCTAATAATTTCTGTATTCACAGACAATTCATAAATTCACTTTTCTTTATGGTAATCTCTAGAAATTGTCACCTGTTAGACATTGCCATGAAAACAACTGACTTAAACCTAAGCACTTCTGTGTCAGGTTTAATCCTATCACAGCAATCATTTTTTTATATCTTGTGCTGATGTGGATATATTTTTATTACATGTGTTTCAAGGCCTGTAACTCACAACCTATGATGAAAGAAATATTTTTTTCCTCTCTGAAATAGTGTATTCCAAGGGAGGATTTTCCAAAAGTACCATGGAACTGAAAACATGCTCTACTTAAAAGAAAATTCTGTGATTGGTGTGAATTTCCTATTCCAGTGACATGTGCTTTGGGTGTTTATAGTTGAGACGAGTCTATACTGAAGTGGAATGGGTTTTTTCCTGAAAGACTCACACATGTAACACTGTAACTTCAACCACTACGTCCAAACAACTGGGCTGAAAGTTCCATCTTATCCATCCTGGGAAGAGACAAGCTGCATTCCCTCTTTTCTGGCCATGTGGGCAAGAGAAAACTGAACACAGGCAAAAGGATGAAGAATGGGATGGAGGCCGAAGATTTTCCTTCTCTCCCTCCTGCCAGGTAACCTACGAGCATTCCTAGACTTTGAATGTTTATTCTGAACTCCAGCAAAGCATTCCTTATGAAATAAGTGGAGCAGTGCTGACTTGCAGTGCCTTTCTTAAGGCAGCTGTCAATTTTAGCCATGCTGTGTTTATATACGTTTGTCACCTGCTAAACTGATTCATTTTCCCGACCTTTGCTTACTAAGTCAGGTGAGACAGACAGCCTGACACTTGGTAGTCACAGTCAGGCAGTGAAAAAATTCCACTTACATTGGTATAACATGGAACTTGTCTCACTGCCTTAAGCAAACCAAATACCAACAACCACAACAGTGACAACATGCTTCACCCAGTGTACAGGACCTGTCTCGTGTTCTTCCCATCCAGCAAGTGAGAATTCCTGGGAAGAACTGATGTGTCATAGCCCCACAGCTCCCTGGGTCAGATTCCTTACACCTCATAGCTACCCAGCATAGTGTTCTCAAACATCAGCCAATTCACATTAATAGAACACTTTCATGTGATCCAGGGAGAAAGGGGATCCACACACCAGCCAGGAGTGAAGGAGTGCAGAAGGTTATATAAATCAGGGACAGAGTGGTGCATTTTCATTTTCAGTCCAGAGGAAAATTGGGTAAGTTATTTTTCATTAGTTCTTTAAATTTACAAATGTCTAGACTCAAAACTGTTTACTAATTATGTTTTAGACATTACAGAAAGGCAAAGGGAGTGTCTTTCAAAATAAAAGAATTTTTTCTCTGTACCATTAAAAAACAGTGTCTCCTTTGAGGTTCTATAGTTTTATGATCTCTTGTATAACTTGTTTTACAATCCACATACCCTATATAGTATGTCTGCAGGATGATGTCTAGTTAGTCAGTATCTTTCTAAGACCAAGAGACTGATTGTTAGATGTGCATGTCCTAAAATAGCCATTTTAAAAGCATGTTACAACATTACAGACTGTAATAACTATTTGCAAATGCCGGAGTTTTTAAATGTGGCTCTCTTCCACTGTTGTTCTTTTTTCTCTCAGAAATAGTTCTAAGGGTTTGTTTCAGAAGGGATTGCTTGTTGTTTTTAAGTTGCCATGTAGCAACAAGAATGTGTTTTTCCCATGCAGAATTTCAGAGATAAAATGAGCTGGCTGGTCACTATGCAGATGTTCAACAATGTTCTCAAGTGAGAACTGTCTGCAGTGTTTCATCCTTTCGTGCACAGTAAGGTTTCCTTCAGGCTGCAAAACACAACACTGAACAGTTCTAGGTACAATATGGCCTCAGGTGACCCAAAACTCTTATAGATCTTCAGGGAGTTCAAGTCACTTTTAGTCCTACCCCCTAGGAGAACTAATTAGATCAAAATAATGCTTCACTAGTTTGAGATTAGCAAGGGTTTGGTTATGTTATTTTTTTTTAAACATTGATGACATGATATTGAAACCTGTTGTCAACATGTAAGTCCATGGCCATTTCAGTTATTTCTGGATTTTATTATTGAGCAGAGTTTATATCACCACAGTGATTTGGAAACTGTTTTTCAAGTAACTGCCTTTAAAAAAATCTTCAGGAAGAAAATAACAATCTTATCGACAGGATGACAATGGCAGGCATGCTCTTATCTATTTTAAAACTGATATTTCCTACAAAATCTGATCTTATCCAAAAAACAGAGTGCTTATAGCTTGAACTTTTCCCTCATGGTTCAGCTATTCAGGATCAAGCTGGAGGAGACA